AAATTCAATGTATAATGATAATGAAAGAAATTCGAGTAGTCAACGTGCTATGCGAATACCGTGAAAATGACTCTATATTCTTCGAGAAGAATACAAAATTCAGACGGACGTAATCATTTGTGACGTCGAGAGTTTAATCAATTATGTATAATAAAAATTTTGACTTTCGATAAGACGACGCAGAGCGTGTGAGAGAGAGGGAGAGAGGTATGCCTCTCCCGATATCTCGTCGCCGCAGTCGCTTTTGAGCCTCAAAATATATCCGACCGTCGTTTGTGGTGGCAAGCCACGAAATCAATTACTGGCCCAATGCTCTTGAACTGGTCCTGAACATCCATCAGCGTCATTCTTCTATACTCGTAATCCGAGTCTTCGAGGATATCAAGTGTGGTCTCGAGCGTTAACAGCCAATTCTTTCAATTCCGATTTCCACTTTGCTTAGGCGGTTAGGATCGGGTTTCCTCTGCTTCTTCTAATTTTGCAGGACCGGACCAGCTCCGATTTTCCCTGTTCTGGGCTATCTAGGTCCCTGAAAAGCCTAATTGTCCCACTCTCCTTTTCCTCCTCGCAGTAAACGGATGCAACAATATTTTGCATTTTGCAATAGCTTTATTATGGTCGTCCTGATAAAGTTTCGTAATAGTCTTGAAATAGATATTTTTGTATAGCGACATGCCCAAGAGAAGCTTCAACAAAAGAGAATTTTGTGACCCTGAAAAGATGCTGCCTTGCAAAGCAAGCTTTTGTTTTTATCATCGTGGGATAACGGATTTAAATTAAAATAAAATGGGACCTAAGGCGCTGTCTCCACCCCGCTCATCATCATGCAAGATTCAGCGGGGGACGCAGACTACCTTTGACCACGTCACTCGCGATACCCAAGTACGGATAGAGACACGAGAGCAGGAAACTCAAACAGAGTCTCACCTGACATCTTGTCCTCCACACAGACGTCACAAACGTCAACCTCGCTTATATCTGAATGTAAAAGGAAACGTTGACGGAGAAAGAGAGGAGGGAAGAGGCATCGAGCGGACCCCTTCAAGCGACCTTCATCAGGAACATCAGGCCGCCACAGAACTAGAAGTCCTAGCAACACCATGTTTACCATCGGCTCTTTTCAAGGCCACAAGATTCTCTTTCGTTGAAGCTTCTCTTGGGCGTGACGCTAAACAAAAACGTCCTTTTCAAGACTACTACAAAACCGTTCTTATCAGGGCAACCATAGTAAAGCTATTGCAAAATGTAAAATATATTTGCATCTCAGTGAATCTCGTTAAGATATCAAATTAATAAATAAGAAAAATTAATACAATAAAGCTCCAATGAATAAATCAAATAATCAATATAAATTGCCAATGTGAGCCGCCGCAGTTGTAGGTGCATGAATCAATATAACGAATTAGATAGGGAGCAAAATATGTACTTGCTTTACATTATATTACATTATATTACAGTACAGACGTTTTGACTTCAGATAACTACACTGATGAGGACTAAAATTTGCAGTCGAAACATACTGTAATGTAATATAAAGCCGGTTCTACATTAGTTGCAAGCCAATCGCAAGTTTGTTGCGACAGCCAATCTAAAGCTTGCATTTTGAAATCAATGCTTCGGATTGGCTGTCGCAACAAGTTTGCGATCGGCTTGCAACTAATGTAGAACCGGCTTAAAGCAAGGCGTCACAAATGCGTAGCCATCTGAACTTGCAGGGATACCGGCTTATATATGTATACATATATGTATATTCAATATACATATACGTATGCATATGCACCCCTGAAAATTCAGATGGCTAGGCATTTGTGACGCCTTGTGTACATATTTTGCTCCCTAATTCGTTATATTCATTCATGCATCTACAACTGCGGCGGCGCACATAGGCAATTTATATATTAATTTTATTAATGTGTCAAATAATTATCTACTATTATATCGCTTGCTGAATTTTCTAATGCGCATTTATATTTATAAAATGGCCAATATTAAACTCCACGAATGAAATTATCTGCAATCGATTGCGTTGATAGCCGTTCGCTCGAGGGTAACGTAAAAATGGACGCGTAAAGAGATGAAGGTGGATTTAAAGATGAAGGGCGAAAGGTAAACTTAATTGGCGGGAAGAACATAATTTGCGCGGGGCTCGATCGAGCGACTTGCAAAGGGATTAACGCGCGCTCACGGAGATTGGACTTGTCGAAGCAGACGCCATCGGAGTTATTCCCGTGAAGATTCATGAATGTTTACTTCAAGTCGCGCCGTAAGTCCGTATCCGCGCGAGAGGTGGATCCATTCGTTTGTCTTCCCTCACGCCGGTGTAAATCATTAGATTTACGGCCGCCAACGTTACCGTACCGTTACCCCCATACTTCGGAGTCGTGCGCTCGCTCCCTCGCAGAGTTTATTATACATTTGACTCGACGCGGATCTGTACTATTGAGATGCAACGTAATAAGCCCAGACTCGGCACGATGGAAATTGACGGATCACGATCGATCGATCTCCCGCGCGCGAGTATCTTCTCAGAAATCTATATCTGCATGTGATACCAGGACGTATCTTGCCGCGTCATCGACATTCGCCGACACATTGACGGATACTTGCGGCAACGTCAGTCCGTACCGCAAACGAGCTTTCGGGATTTAAGTCGGGCTTTCGGGGCTGACGTCGCCCGGAGGGAAAATATGCGTGGCAGTGCGATTATTGTGAGTACACATAATACTCGTGCATCGCTCGGTATCGTCAGACTGTCGCAGATTTCGTCTGACAAGAGACGTGATCGCGTTTGTGTATGTATGTATGTGTATGTGCGCTGGTGGTTGCTCTGCACGCCGCGGTGCTACTAATTCGTATTTAAAGCTTTATCGGACGCGCCTCGTGTCCCGCACAACAATTTCACGGTTCACAGAAACCATCCTGCGCCCCAGGATCACCATCCACCAACACCATCACTCCCCCATCGTTGGCATGTACGTACATCGAGTCGTGCGCGCTCAAGATTCTCGAGTACGTACACGGCCGTACAAGTACCAGCGGTAGCAGTCACTTAGATAAGTACTTCTGGTACCTTCTGTATAATGAATGAACAAGAACTCTAGTCTGGACGGTGGATATACTTGAATATCCTCGAATAATTATACTTTCCCGAAGTAGTTTATAATACTTTTTTTCTAAATCGTCATAAATTTTCTCGATTCATTTATTGAAACATTTGCTATATAATTGATATATGTAATTTTCATTTTATTTAAAAATAGGTTTTTTACGTACAATTGTTAAATAAGTATGATTCGTTAATTGGAAAACAGAAAATTAATATAATTGCTTATTTATTATATTATATTATATTGATTCAAACTGATGAAGACTAAATAAAGTCAAAATCGTTTTGTATTAATTTTCTATTTGTGTTAGAGAATAAATTATTTAATTTTAAATTTAATTTGAAGAAGTTAAGGCTACTCTTATAATGAATAAATCATAAATAACTAAATAGTGCGAATCGATATGGATATTGATGTGTAATAATTTTTATTGTTACAACATCAAGCTATATACAAACTGCGCGCCGCATTTATTGTCGCATTTATTTTTGAAACATAGTTTTTACATGAGGCCAAAATCCACTATAATGAATTAAATTGTCAAGCAATTTAATATTTTATTTAATTTTATTAAATTAATATTTTATTTAATTTTAATTAATTTATATTTTAATTAATATTTTATTTAATTTTATTAAATTAACACTTCCATTTTGCTTGTTCTCGACAGTTTCCTTATTGATTAAACTTAATATTTATTGTGAAACTTTTCTACTACAATTCGAAAAAAAAACGCGAAATAATTCAACAATAAAGCACATAATTGTATTATAATGTTTCAAAGACAATTACGTTTTCTTCAATCATTCTATTTAAGCTGCTTCTCTTTCATTTATTCCATTTCGCTTCGGACGGCTCAAGGGAATCAACGCGGTACTATACCTACCATATCGAAGGTATTTTTCTTACTGTTGCTGCTAATTCACACCAGCTCATTGGCCCGCGGCATCCCTATGTTAAATCGCTCTTCAACCCTCCCACCCTTCTCGGAATACCTCTCTCTACTTGGCTATGCACTTTATCCACCTCCCCGTCGCCGCTGGATGCAATTTTAATCCCGAATTCCAAGAAAATTACCTTGCCGTCAGAGCTGCTTAAGGGGGTACTAGATGAGATTGCCTCTGTTACCTGTCAGCCCGCTTGACATATAGTATATTATGCAGCGGGCTGTTCGAACTAGTCTTGAGATTATTCTCTAATTTAAATTTCTATTTTCCTTTCGCACGCCGCCGCCGCCGCCACCGCCGCCGCCGTCGCTGCCGCCGAGGCCGGAACAGCCGCGTTTTAATAGCGAGGGTGAAGATAGATGAATTTCCCGAATCGCGCGCGCGGCTTTGAAAATTTCAATGTTCACGTGTTTTTCAGCAAACAACCAGACGTGCGATCGGAAGGCGGCCGTTTGTATTTTTGAACTGAAGCCCGAATGTTAAATTTTTAATTGTAATTTTGCTACGAAAGTTTCCGCTATTGTCGGACGAAACAAAGCCCTCGCGGCAGTTGTTAGTTACATGAGTTATAATTGGTGGAAACTGTAGAACGCGTATTGAATACGGATGCATATATCATTCAGTCATTTGTGAGTGTTTTATGTTACGGAAATAACAAACCTACCTGTAACGCTGTGAAAGCGCGTACGCGCTGGGCCCCTTAGAGAGAGAAGGTAATACATCCAGCTGAATGAAGAAAGAATGGTAGGACTAATGGACCAATAACACATCGGACGATGAAATATATACGTTCAATATACGTTCAAATGTATACTGCTCGTGAGAAGATGGAGTCTGTAATAATTTCGGGGAGTAATAATAATTGCCGTCCGACGTAATTAAATCAAATAAAATGTGCACACAAAATATCAACTACATTCAGTAATGGACGAAGGTTATTAATAATAGTAACAATAACGACTTTATTGCCACATACATAAATAAATGGACATGGCCGATGTACAGCGTACAAGCTGGATCGCGATTCGATCCGGTTGCGTCGAAACTACCGTCGCAGTCGCACTTCTTTTACATTCTCACACACGCGCACACATGTACATTCTTTTTCTTTCTAACTTTCTCCCGCCTTGTCCGGCGCGCGGCACGCGCAGCCCGATGCAGCCGTCGCCCTACTTACAACAACGCTTCTACTTTGTATCGGAGCACGGGGTTAAACAGACACCGCGTTAGAAATAAGCGATTCGTGAGGAGTAGTCTCCCCGAAGGGGAGGGTGCCCCGCGCCATCAGCACCGAGAGCGAGAGCGCGGGCTTCGTGGAGGGGAGCTACGAACGATTTGCCTAGTGGTTTCGCCGCGCGAGGCGTACACCCGGTACACAGGATATAAAGTATATATCGAACGCGCGAGAAGACGATAAAGGTGCTACGAAAGGGGGATGATCTCGAGGAGATTTCGTCGGGCACCAGTCTTAACGGCGATACAAAGCGTCTCGAATTCCCGTCTTCATCTCTGTCGCCTTCAGCATCACGTTTGACAATCGTTTCGTACGTTTGACGCATCCAGTCGCATGATTTTGTAAATCTATTTTTTTTTTTTCAAGAACTGCTCTAAACTTAAGATTTAAGGGCACAGTTCGCAGTTGACGACGAACGCGAGATGAGAATTCGGTCCGAGCATCGCGCGTCGCGGGGTAACGTCGGCGACAGAGTGCTACGTACACATAATAAATACACGTTTTATTCGCGATAACCATCGAGGATCCGGTGATTTCCTTCGGATCCTCGATAGATATCTCAAGGACCCCCGACCGAGGGAAGAAATATACGGATTTCGAAGCCAAAGGGGCGCCGTGCGAGCGAGCGCGTCACTTTACAATGCAATAGACGGCGACTTTCGGCAAGAATCTCTCGCGCTCTCCCTCTGCGTTCTCGCATTGACCGATGGCGCTGGCGCGAGAAAAAGTTAAAGGGAAGACCCCTCTCGCGTGAGAACGCCGCACGGAAGAATATTCCTTAGAGAGAATTCCCCGAATGCCCGCGAATTCGAGAGAATTTTTCCGGTCAAGACCTCGCGAGAATTCCCTTTGTGTCCGGCGCGACTGCTGCGTTCCCCCGCTGCGATGGGAAACGCCCCCGACGCGTTTATTCACGCGTCTCGTCGTCGTCGTCGTCGCCGCCGCTGGGATACTCGGTCGGATATTTCACGGAACGAAGATTGGCTCGCGCGCCGTGAAACGCCGTGACTAGGGAAGATTGACGTGTACCTTAAGCGCGGGATTGAAGCCGCAACAACGCCCGATTGTGCCCTTATATACAACTCAATTAAACGTTGAATGACGTTGAAACTGTAAAATACGAAGGAGGGAGGGGGGAAGGGAGAAAAAAAGTGAAAAGCGCTCGATGCAATTCCATTTAATTGACATGTACGCACTTTTGGGAAGGGAGGGCGGGGACGCCGACGCCGCTCGTCAGCTCGATTAGGCCCTAAGTAAACCAGAAGATTCGCGAAGGGTGCCCGGCACTTAAAGGCGTATCGCGCATACGCTGCATTTCATTGAAAAATAGCACGTGCTGGGAATTAATTAATTAGCATCGACTATATTCCGTATTTACCGAGTTCTCTCTCTCTCTCTCTCTAATTCTTTCCTCGCTGCGAGTATACTGATACGTTGCACTTCGGGGGCATCTTCGCATCCCGTTCGGCGCGGCGGATTCGTTTGATATCGTTTGCAGTGTTCCAATGAAGGCCTCGTCCCCGATCGCGCCGAAGGCCGATCGCGGTGCATTTTCCGCTCTCTCTCTCTCTCTTTTCTCTCTCTCTCTTTCTCTCTCCCTCACTCTTTTTTTCTTCGCTAAGATCACCGAGTCACACAGTTCACCGTGATTCCTAACGAATCATCCTGCGCTCTCGCAACACACCGCCGAGCCGCGTAGTCGTATTAGCAAATCGACTTGTCGGCCTGACAAGTGCCATCTGATCTGGCGAGGAATAGCTTGCCACTCGCACAGGCACACAGCTGATAGATGGTTGTCTCCTTCTGGCCCTGATGACTGGACGAGGATCTGCCGGCGTGCTGCTGCTGCTGCTGCTGCTGTTGTTGCTCCCTGGACGAGTGCCCCTGCACCGGAACCGCCGTTTTCAGGCCCTTTATGTAGACGGACTTGGCGTCGAGCCGGATGGCTCCGTGAACGCTCTGCAGTTTCAAATCCGTCAGGCAGGAAGCCGAAATCTCGTTCGCCCAGGACTCGATCGTGACCCGCTGAGGAGCGCTTATCTTCAACGATCTCGTCGCCGACTCGAGCCTGCGGCACAGTAAACAATTACATTTAAATATACGTGCTGCAATTTGATTTAAATATATGTGTGGAACGTTTCATCTCCCTCGCGCCTTATATATATATATATATATATATATATATATCTTAACGATGAAATCCTTTTGCCAACGCAAAGACAATTTTTCCTTGACAAAAATGTGTCGAGAGTGTTGAACCGTTTGCAATTTCCGAGTTACAAACGAATTGAAGCGGGAGGTCTTTCTGCAAACGCTTTTCTGTTATTTAAGTTTCAAGAAGCCAATTCTTTAACTAGATTCTCAGACGAAATTTATTTTAATGCACGGAAAGAACAATTTTACTGAATCCAGATTTGAAAATAATTTTTGTTCAATAATCAAAATAATTTTGTGCAAAAGTCAAAATTATTGCTAGAATATCGAAAGCAAATTTATAGCAATGCTTATCAGTTTTAACATTCCAACAAATTATTTTGATTCAACAAAAAATTATTTTCAGATCTATATTTAGCAACACAGATCTTTAGATCTTTCAACAAAATCGTTCTTTCCGTGAGGAATTAAATTTGCAACTTAATTTTAGAGATATATGACACTGAAGATTGGAAAATTAAACAAGATAAATCACGATCTTCTTGATTCGCTAAATATTAATTGGAGAATTTGTCATGAAGAAAACGATGCGAGAAATGGAACACTTTACATATAGGTACATTTCCTGCGCACAGGCACGCGGAGATTTTGGCGCCTCAGTCAATGGCATATCTGTTGCCGAAATCTACGCAGTTGTGAACGACCTTGTGATCCTGCACGAATAGGCAACACGTCATACTGACCTGTATGTAAGTGAAACACGGTACATATTGTGTCTCTTAATAGACAGTATCAATTAATAAATTGCATGGCATATTTAATCATAGCCAGATTAGGATTCAAGTAATACCATTAGTATCATCTTAAATTAGACTTTCAAAGTCATGAAACTGTATCGTTGTGTCGCCATTATACCATTCGAAATACAATTATTCCCCATGAATTATTATCGATTAGTTCGCGTAATTAATTGACTTCTCCATAATTTACGACTCGATCAACATATCGAAGCGATGATTATTTATTAAAAAAGATTCCCCGCAATTTATCAAAGAACATTTTGCACGATTTAATTATTATATGCAATGCACGAGAATCGACGCAACAGAGAATAGGAGATATAAATGATTGTTTTATATTCCGACAATTATTATCGATTATGGTTTCTTTAACAACTGGAGTTTGACGCGTTTTAAATATTTAACTGTCGGGATTTATACGCACCTACTATTTATTCGATATTTATTCAAATACTTATATTCGAAACGCGAGAAAATACGTGTTTTTTTGATATACAAATATAATATAATTAAAATACATAACATACAGTAGCAAAAATTTTCGATCAATACGTAATTTTAACGTATTGAAAGTTATTAAATGTATTGTATCATGTATAACAAAATTATAATATCTACAATTTTAAACGTAGTAAAATTTACAATGTTGATACAATTAGAAATTTACTCGCAACATGTATTTAAAAAAAAAATATCGTAAAATTATATATTGACAGGAAACTTTTAGTAGTCACTGTATACATAAAAAAAATTGCACAGTATACTCGAATTAAAATTCAAATAACAGTACCTGTAAGCTGTTGAAGCACTTCAATTAAACTCTCAGTCGTTCGATGTTAATCGCTATCTTAAGCAAAAGCTGAAGACGGTTCAAAGCAGAGCGTAAAATGGAACGATAGCTCGTTGATCAAAAGCACTCGAGACACGAATAACTGAATATTCCGTGTATATTTTTTAAACAACGCGATGAGTCTCGCAGGACACAGCGGTTTGTATCCGAACGACGGACGTGTGCGCACTTGGCTAAGACCGCGGTTCTACAATAATCGTCGTAAGACGTAAACCGTATAAGAAATTGACTAATGGTTGTGTTATTCATTGATATCGGTTTGTTTTCTATATCTGAGTGATATTAGTGTACCTATACTTTTTGCGCAAAATATACACTGTTAAATCTATAATATCAAACTGAACCTTATTTAAGTCGCTACTGCTCTTACTTAGTAAATAGTTCTTTTTTACTAAAATAATGGAGTTAAATAATTTAAAACAGTTCAAATTTAACTTAAATTTGGGTTAAATTCCATTGTTTTATTTAATAACTATATTGTTTTAGTTCAAAATAACTATTTATTAAGTAGGAGCAGTGGCGACTTAAATAAGATTCAGTTTGACAATATAAATTTAACAGTGTAGGTACACATATTTGATATTTGGTATAAGCGAGAAAGAAAGTTTTAAGGCAGTCCAGTGCAGGAATAGAAAACAGATCTCATAATCGATTATTCTCCTTACATTCAACTGTGATTGATCAATGTTTTTACTCTGTTAAATCTACAGTGTCAAACTAAACCTTATTTAAGTCGCCACTGCTCTTACTTAATAAATAGTTCTTTTTTACTAGTTAAATAATTTAAAACAGTTCAAATTTAACCCAAATTTGAGTTAAATTCCATTGTTTTATTTAAAAATATTGTTTTAGTTAAAAATAACTACTTATTAAGTAGGAGCTGTGGCGACTTAAATAAGGTTCAGTTTGACACTGTAGATTTAACAGTGTACAGCTTACACTACCCGGGGAAAAAAGTTCCACATATAATTATATATAATTATGTGCAAAATATGTCCATATATGTTTCTTCCCTTTGTAAAATTATTCTTTAATATAAAATTTTGATAATAATAAGAAAAAAACATAAAAATTAATTAAAAGAATAATTTTTACATTGTTTTTTTTTGACAAAACATCAAGTTTGAAGAAATGAGAAAAATTGTTCATATATAATTATATATGTATATTTTTAATCACTTGTATATGATTATATATGAGCAATTTTTCTCATTTCTTCAAACTTGATTTTTTGTAAAAAAAAACATTGTAAAAATTATTCTTTTAATTATTTTTATGTTTCCTTCTTATTATTATCAATTTTGTATTAAAGAATAATTTTACAAAGGAAAGAAACATATATGGACATATTTTGCAAATAATTATATATATTTATATATGGAACTTTTTTTCCAGGTAGATATTGTAGAATAGAATTGGTTTAACGGGGAAGGGGGTCCTTTTTTATGTCACGGCGCGAGCGGGCGGCGCTGTCATACCTGTCATTCGCCCGGCGAGGCTCGAGCGAGTAGTGCGGACGCCACTCGCTCCGCGCTCGCCGCTTCGTGCGTCGCATCGCTTCACGAGGCTAAACGTCTCTCACGAACACCCACAGACTTGCAGATAGATCAATGCTCACGGTTCGCGGACGTGCCGAAGCGTCGGCTATTCACCGAAGATAGGTATGCTATCACACACGCTCGACTCACTCACTTCGAAGTAGAAAATATCGAAGCGACGCGTCGGCGCTTGAGAAATGACGAATTATCATACAGTGGCAATATATTTAGACCGACAATTGTCCTGTTCAATAATCGAATCGCGAATGACATATCATCGAACATTCGTACGTTTCGCTCTTTATTTGCGGGGACCGAAAGCACGTACGGTGTGTGGTGGCATGAATTTAGATTTATCGAGTCGCCGCGGATAGCGCGATTCAAAGCAACGTCGATATATATATATATATATATATATATCGACTGTCCATTAATAATACCGTATACATATATTCGACGGAATTTACGAGCTCGAAATGTGTTGGTCGTTCGCGATATGTACTGCGTTGTCGATTTTATACTTTCCGACGGTCGTCTTAATTAGGTATGAAATTGGCCGCGTCACGTGGCGCCGCGCCGGTGTGAAGTTGTCGCCGCCTAACCTTCGTTCGTCCGGCCGTGGGGCGGCGTGCGTGGCGGTCGACATTAAAATCGCGAAGACGCGGACGCGTAAACGGATCGACTTCGAGCTGTGTGGCGTCGCGGCGCGCTTGCTTGGTAAGTATATACGATCGCAAATACAGACGTATACGTATACTTAAGTATAGCGAACAGATCCCGCGCTCGGGTTATCTCGCGCTGCACGAAGCGCGCGCGCGATATCGCGGTGATCTCCGAAATTGCACGTTGCGCGACGCGTTTCGATCGACGCGTCGCGTCGGGCGCGGGATTCTCGTGGCAGGGCGACGCGCGATCGTATCTCCCCCCCGGACACGTATCGCGCAGCGCGCGGATATCTACACTTAGCTCGCACGCGTGTCCCTCGCTCGCCGTAATACCGAGACATTAGTCGCCGTCCTGGAAACACATGTACCCCGTTTGTCCGTTACAGATACAGCAATTTTCCGAATTGAGGCTAGGAGCAACAGGTGCAACGTCGCGTCGCTCCCACGCGAAGTTGGCCGCCCGCGATTTCCGAACGCTCTCGTCTGTCCGCTGTTCCGGATTCACGACGACGACGACGACGATGACGGTTGGACGGCTGGACCGTCGCGAATCGCACGAGACATCGCGGAGTGCGGAGATGCGGACAGCAGCGGTAATTTCGCACGATGATTCCTCCCCCCGCGCTGCTCTTTCGTCGGGGAAAGATGCGTGCGTGAACTAAAGCTGCAAGTGTCATGCAAGCGCCGCGTTGATGACCGTAAGTCAATTTTACTTTCGCAAGTTAACATTATTTTCAATGTTGCGCGAGTATTGGAACGAAAAATCGCCGGTAATACATGCGCGTATACATAAGAAAGAAGAACAAGAAATTTAATGATTTTTTTAAAGCCTGCTATCCTGGCTTGAGTCGACAATCGCATTTCTGATATTTAAATTCGTAAAAAAAATCACGCAATAATTCGCATTTAACTTGGGTAATACAATATAATAACGATATATATCCTAAAAATATGAAAAATATTTTTGACATTCCTTATAGAAATTTAATACTGGAAAGAATAATAGTTACTTATTTTAAGCATTAAAAGCATCGTTTGTTAGTACTTTTAATACTCAAAGTAAGCAATTATTTGGCTCTTTTAATATTAAATTTCTATACAAGAAATATGTACACATATATATAAATTCTTATGTAGTATAAGTATCTGGTTTTAGTCTCCTATTACATTTTTTTTAAGAGAAATGTGACGATATTGTGCTAATAATGCAACGTTTGTTCTTAAACTCCGCGATTTTTAAAATAAAACACGGACACGCTATAGCGATGCAATCATTGTCCGATGAACGATGAGCATTGGGGACTCGTATATACCTCAGTTTCAGTGCATTACCGTTCCAACAATGACGCGGATTACGCCGTAAATCTCCGTGTGCCCGTAAACCGTCGTATTATATCCAAGTATTCCAGCAACAGAGTAATATCTGTATTGACTCCCGCGGCCCGAAGTCGAACTCGAGCAATAATCGATTCTCCCTCCCGCGGAGGAGACGGTCCACACGCGGCTCGTTCGTTTCCTCCCCGTCCCCTCCTCCCCCTTCCGTACTCTGCGAAGCTGCTCTTTTACCGCTTTTACTCTACCACCTTACTTTCCTCTCTCTCTTTCCTCCTCCCCCACAGTCGCCTGCCCGTCCTCCGCGATCTCTGTGCGCCTCCCTCTATTCTACCTCTTCGGGAACTCGTAGGATCCGCGGTATTTCATATCTGGCGCAAATCCAATCCTATGAATATAATTTTCCGCGCGAGCAAAGTTTTATTGTAATCGTAAATCCGTCTGTAAATTGCCCGGCGCTATCAATAACCGCGGCGCGGCGGTACAACTCCGTTTTGTCCCCCTCCCTCCCATCTTTCCCTCTGCTATCTTTCCGACCCCTACCTTTGTCCCCTTATACCGTCGCCACCATTCGCAGACTTCGATCTTTCGCCGTAATACACCGAGGTGCTCGGTGAGAGATGAGGATGAAGACGGCGGGGCGGGTGCGGAAGGGTTAAGGGATTGTATGAGCTTATTCGGGTCGAAGGTGTGATGATTGAAGGCGGAGTAGGTGGAAGGGGGAGAGTTGCCATTTCCGAAACGACTTCTTCGCGAGGAAAACGGGACACGCGCTATATACAATACGCGTTGTTCGGTGCCATAAGATCGAACGGGTACGATCGATTGATCCAATTCACTCGACATCTATATTATTATTAGTTTTGCCTGCCGATGCACCTACATCCTAAATATAAATGCGCTTTATCCTCGACCTATATAAACTTCATGTATTCCGCGAAATTTGCCAAAGGGAGCCGATGATCGATGATCGTGTTCTCAGTTTAGCGCATTATTTTTGTAACGACTCGAGCGGTAGCACACCGCAACCGTGCGTTTCGATTTCGTCTGACTCTATTTGTGTAATTACTACTTGTCGGGATATAATTATGTGCGTGAGCATTTGTATTGAATTTCGAATGAAATTGCTGATACGAATATTAATGATCGCAAATAATTGTATAATATTTCGAAACAATACGTAGAAATTGTCTATTTGTAGGTAACGTGTAATAATATCAGATATAATATCAGATAATTGGATAGTTTATGGGAGAAAATCTACCTCTCTTCTCAGGCTTCTCTCTCGAATGCATAAAATTGAATATTCTACACACGTACATTGCTAAAAAATATTTGTAAAATATATTTACTTGAGACCGCGTCCCGATTCCCCTCTGACCAGCGGGGTCTGCACGCTCCCTTGAAAAACGGCACCACCGTCGCCGGTCACCCTCAACATTTCCGCTCCCACGATAACCTGCTCCCTGTCCGCGGAGAACAGCACGCCTCCCCGTGGATCAGTTATTTGGAAACCTCTAGATACACAGTCGACGCGATCCTCGCCTGGAAGTAGAATTTAATCGAATAGATTTAATGATTTAATAGATTATAAAAGCTTGAAATAAATTTGTAATTATATAACACTGCGAATGCTACATTACCGGGTCCCGAAATTCGCAAGTCAAAATATCATAGCAAGAAAGTTTTTGAAATATCAGGTGAAAAAGTTATTTGTAAATTTTTATTTTAAGCAGTAGTTTTTGAAATATAAGAATTTAAATTTGGCCAATTATAGATTACGCGCGTGAAGTGCGTACCACTAACACTATCGCGCTATTCACAGACATGTGAATGACATATTCCGTTTAACTGTAATTCTATAATTGGCCAAATTTATATCTCAAAAACTATAACTGCTTAAAATAAAAATGTACAAATAACTTTTTTACTTAATTATTCGAAGACTTTCTTGCTATGATATATTGACGTGTGAATTTCGAAACCTGTATACATGTAATTCAATCAAGAGTATAATATATCTCTCTGATAAAATTAGATTTCCGTAGCTTTAAATTAAGGCCGTTTGTATAATCTTATTTCTCTTTGAGAAATTAAAATTACTTCTTGACGTCGCGTCGGGCTGTATGAAAAATGCAGGCTGCTGTGCGCGAACATCAATATAACTTACCAACTGTTAATCGCGCGAGAAGCCGACCATCGTGAGATCTCGCCGAGGCCGTAAAATTACTCCATGATTCCAGCACTAAGTTTTTGCCCCTCCGAGATCTCAGGCTGGAGGCCACGAGGGCGTCTAACACGGCAGCTTGACCTCTTAGCTCGATTCCCCCAGGCACCACTTTTAGCGAGCCGATACCTTCCTGAAAGAAAAGGAAATGACTGTCAGGACAGAGAGGGGTCGAAACCGTCGAAACTTTCTAGGCCACGGCTATAACACTTGGATAAAAATAGAGCAGAGCCTCGCCACGATTTATTGCACCCTTTGTACACCCATTCTATTTTCTATCAAATTGACAGCTGATTCAGGGTTTCTGTTTTCCTATAAATTCTGGTATTTTGCCAGTCGCCAAAATACAATACTCAATTTCTAACGATCGTTGAACTGATTTTTTTTTATTTATATAGAATAAGTTCCTGTGGAAAAATCGAACATTGAATTACGCGTATAGAAATTATTGTCGAAATTAAGATAGCAGGCGATGTGCGCGATATTCTACATTAAACCGAGGCGGGTCTTTAAGGCGCTGCTTTCCAGGCGCTGCAGTATCGTCGCGCGGGCAAAGCCGGAATTTATTAAAATCGGACCGCGCACGTCGGGAAGCCTCGCAATATCGATACCTTCGAGATCGAGTGAACGCGCCGCGCCGTCGCGCTCGTATCGTAAAATAAAATAATATACTCCATTACTGCGTCGAGTTTCAAGTGTGGCGGTATTAAGTATCGGCGGCGCGCTCGCCATTATTGCCACTTCAGACGGCTGAATTATAAATGCGGCGATGAGCTACGTGCGGGTTACGCGCGGTGATCCATTGTGCCCGTTCGTTTGAAATATCTGCCGTAATATCCGAAACAGTGGCGTAGGCAGAATTTTATTTTAGCTCGGCATCTCTCTCTCCCTCTCTCTCCTCTTTCATTCTTCGTCTCTCTCTCTCTCTCTCTCTCTCTCTCTCTCTCTCTCTCTCTCTCTCTCTCTCTCTCTCTCTCTCGCCTATCGAGATACCACCCATGGGGGTGTATCGAGCGAAGGAGAGTGGACGACCACCGGGGTCGGGAGGAAAGGAGAAATGCACTATAAAGTAGACACATTGCGCGTTTGCATTCATCTCGTAAACTTTGGATAGTCTCCCACCTGGGACTTATCCCGAGTAGAAAGTGCAATTTGGCGTTTATGAAACAGTCTTACCGCGTATAATTGCGATCGAACTTTGCCCCCGACAGGTTGCTGAGAAGTATAAGGTCTGGTCGAAAGGGTGAAAAATGTCTGAATTTTTTTCTAAGATAATTTTAAGTTTTATAAAATTAATCGAGAAAATATACATATGCGTTCATATGTTCATGCGCGCGTGCGTGCATGCGAATGAATGTGTATGTGTGTGTGTGTATTTTCTCAATTAATTTTGTAAAATTTAAGATTATCTTAAAAAGAAATGTATAATTATTTTCACCCTTTCGACTAGATCTTTACATATATTTAGAGAAAAGGAGAGAGAAAGACAAGGAGAGATTTTCGGGAAAACTATAATAGAAAAAGTAAAAAAGAAATAAAGCTAAAGCCACGTTCTCCGTATAGTAATATTTACATTTCCCGAATTTAAGCGTAATAGCTGAGAAATTAAATTCGCATATTATAGAGTTAGGTTCTACTCTTGCGCGTCAATACGAGCGCGAAAATAGATTGCATCGCTATTCAATCTATTGTCCATGATACGAGAATAGTTCGACACAGAGCACAGGCTGTCAATTGCATTCCTCATATTAACGAACGCGCTGTATTTTAATATCGTATTCGGAGAGAGCGCTTATATCCGCGGAAGAGCTGCAAGTTCTAGCGTGAATCGCTATAGAAACGTTAGAAACAGTTCGAAATACGGATAGAGATCTCGCTTGGCAAATCTCCCAGTCGTCCTACCCATTGCCCGCAGAGCTTTTCTTAAAATACTATACCGAATAAAATATATAGCTCGTTCTTCGCTGTTTTTACCGTCCACATTGATTTCCGATGATTGGCCGCTCGATCGAAGGCAATCGCCGCGCTCTGTGCCGCTTATTATTACAATTGCGGAGGAAAAGACGGACCTGGGGCTGGCCCAGGTACACGTTCTGTCCGAACTGGTTTAAACTTTCGATCCGGCGAAACTCCATTTCATTCGAGCGAGGTTTTTTTTTCTCTCTCCTAACCGGACATCGCGCGCTGACCGAGCCCGAACATTCGCCCGAATACGGCGCGCGGCAATTCGATACGTCGATCCGCGGCGAAACGATAAGGATAATTTCCCCTGTTAAACCGAGATATGAAAAGCTGAACAGTCGGAAGGACAATTTATTATCGCAAATACCAGCGATAGCCAATTGAAATTTAATCTCGACTTAGATATTTCGGGAGAGATTCAAAATCACATTTATCTCATATATATGAACGGGAAATCTCATTGCAGATAAATGAGACTTTTACAAAAATATTTTTGAAATACAGCAATTTTTATATCGAAACCGTAGCGAGTCTTTTATTTACATTTTGTCGGTTTAAAAAGTTTACTACACAAGCTCAGGTATCTGGTTTTTAAATATTCCTATACATACCGATAAAATGTTTTCATAATTAAATAAATCGGAAATATCAAATGTCAAAATTTCATTCATTTTACATCCGAATGTCTTTTATAGTGCATGAAGGTAAGTGTATCACTTTTCAATGTGAAAGTGTCCGATGGATATTTTCTGGAGAAGTTAAATTATTAATCTGCATAGACAATCACGATGATTGGACGAGTGAATGAACTTTGCATACCTACTTTCATACACGTGTGTGTCGTTTCTAATATTATTATTAGCATTATCATCGCGTCTTTGTTCACCGATTCAATTGCGTAACTCGCCATTGCGCCGCCGTGAGCGTCGTCGTTCTAAAGGAGAATGACCGGTCGCCAGATTTCGCTAAGCATCCGGCTGCGAGATCGCGCGGTTTAAATACTCGTTCATGGAGTTTCCCCCGACATCACTTCGGATGTGCGTAGTTACGATCGGCGACGAGGGATCGGCGGGCGGGAAGGGGAGAGATCTCGAGCCACCGGCACTCGATTAGCCAAATCGTTCGGAAAACGATACGATCTCTTTGCCCTCTACTTAACCGTAACCGTAAACCCCAATAGCGTCCGCGGAGAGCGAGCGAGAGCGCGAGAGGGAAATAGAGCGAGACACAATTATACGGGGAGGAATGAGAGAACGAGAGGAAACTCTGGAACGAGAGATACGGGAACGGGCGAGAAAGAGGGACGAGGTACACAATAAAAAGGGAAAAAAATGCAAGTGCGGGGAGGAGCGAGCGGAGGAATGAGAAAAGAATGAGGAAACGAGGAGGAAGGAGGAAGGGAGAGAGAGAGGGAGAAAGACAGGAAGAACGAACTGCGGCCGCACCTGCTTTTTAGAATCGCCAGACGGTCTTGGAAGGAACCACGCCGGCGGAGTCCGGGTGGATCGTCCAATCGTGGTGGCGAGAACGAGCGGCAGTAGTAAAAGTAATCTACCGTCAGACAGCTATCATTAAGTCCGAGGCTTTATACCCTTTTTATCTCATTGTCTGTCGGCCGTTGATAAGGGGATTTAAGCGACAATAAAAAATATCGATCCTTAGCCAACTCTCGCGCGGCGTGTTCGGGGCGCGTGCCTTTTCCCACCCTATATATACTCTATCCCGCGATCGCGGTTAGTTTTTCCGAAAAAGAGAGAGAGAGTAATAAAACAAAAAAGGAAAATCCGTGCAATTAGCCGGTTGAATTTCTGGCGGCGGCGGATCGAGTTGACCGCCGTATTTCCTTCGTATCGCCGCCGAATTGGCTGGTCGTCGCGGAGCATCAAGTATTTATCGCGTCGAGAAATTGCGGATTCGCGCTCGGTGGCGGAAATTGCGCGGTGTGACCGATTAACCGATTTCCGGACGTCATTGAAACCAATCAGCGCGACGGAGTCGATGAATTTAAGTTTTCGTTTCACCGCGAAAGAAAAAGAGAAAAAAATTCCGGCGTCGCGTTTATTATCTCGGCGCGAATTCCGCCTCCGAATTGCTCGGCGTGTTCGAGACGCGCGCGATTCGCGCGACCGAGGGTGCAGAGCCAGGGGCGGGCGGTGGCGTCTCTGTCGGGGCATGTAATGAAATCCAAATAACACCCCTAGTAAGCGTATATCATCGTAACGACGCCTCGGCTCGACGTTACTCGGCTGGTCGCCTCGTTCATAAATTAATGTAAAGCACGTCATATTTACAAGGATTACAAAAGCGTTCCATTCTCGCGCTCCGCCTGCTCTAATCGCGGTCACTTTTCCGCTACTCCTCCATCGTGATAAGCTTTATCCCGAGATGCGAAACTATTAGATATTTTATTATTCGTATTATTCATATATTTTTTCTAGATTATGTGGATATATTCCCGATGTTTGTCTCTACTTTTGTTAACTCTCTTTTTATTTTCAATAAATATCATTATATAATTAGCATAATAACCTAGATTTCTCGTAATTTCTTGCTCGATAAAACAGTTATATGTGAGGATTCGAAAATAGAAAAAAAGAAGTCATCTAAAAAAAATCCGCTAAAATTTGCAGCTGTGATACTTCGCAGATATTTTAAAAATTTAAGCATCTCTTTTTTAAAATAATTTTGATAATTCGATCATTTCGATCAATAACCGTGCAATTTTTAAAATTAAACGTATAAAAGTAATAAAAAGAAACTGTCTATCGGTACTGTAATTGAAACATTTATTAGTATTTCATTTTTTCATATTAAATTAAATGAAATGTGATATTCATACATTTTCGATCAAGTATTTGCTTTGTAAGCAAATGGCTTTCGAAGTGAAACACATAAGGTGTTTGAGCTTTCGATGTACTTAAATATATTTATTATTTAAATTCTGTTGCTGAGAAAAGCAAGCGAAAATCCAAGAATATATTTTCCTAAATTGTTTTAACATAAATCTACATTCGTATGAAACTCTAAGGCGTAGTCAAATTTCAACTGCAATGAATTTCATTTCTGCGAATGAATACAAGTCAGCTGTGCGTTGAACACGTGCGTCATGTCATTTTGGCGAACCGATTCGCGTGCACATCTCATTTCGCGAAGAGGTCGGAAATAGCATTG